AGGGTGCCAACATTCGAGTGTGCCGTGTGTGAATTACACCCTTTTGCATCGGTGTATTGCGCTTAATTATTGTAATTTATTATTTAATGTAATTCCTTTTGCAGGCGCGCGCGCTCAGCACACTGAACGCAACACTGACTGACACTGAGCTGTGGCCGTACGTTGTTGCGTTGTTGGGTTGGTTGGATGTCTGGTGATGAAATGTCGAAAATTTCCGCAAATTAAGAAAGCACAATTGAGGGATTTGCCATTGATCGATTGCTACTGCAGGCGAAAAGTATAAAATTATTGTAATTAACTTGTTGGCATGTTGCCACTGCAATGCTGGGGACGCCAAGACAAGATGCTCAATGGCGTTGCAAGTGAACAAATATTGAGCATTGGGCATTGGGCTAGACGAGGTGTTGTGCGGGAGTGATGATGGCATATTGATTACCATTTCTGTTTGTTTACATTGTGACATTATTTAATAAGCATCGTTTAAAGGTGATGAACATAATTTGAATTTGGAACACCTCACTCCTTTTGAATGGCTAATTAAGTACTATAATAATTTGTCGCTCATATACATATATGTATGTATAAACTGAATTATCAAGTACCTACAAATACATAGTATGTGCTTGTGTACGAGTATGTTTCATTAGAACGGGTAAGAAAATTGAAAGCAAAGACAGTTAGGTGTGCTATAAACACTCAAGGGCTGTGAGCTGAAATTCTTACTTAAAAAAGAACAAGAAATAACCAAACAAAGTACGTCACTCTTTGGCAGATGATATTTCCCATCACTTAAATTTATTTGACTAATAAATATATACATACATATATGCATCTACATCTTCCTATACTCCTTTATAGCCGTATCAACAACATCGCGCTATTCAGCCCTTCTTTTCTCTATTTGCCGCCAGTTGAAAATACCAAGTGAAACCAGATCGTTCTCCACCTGATCCTTCCAACGGAATGGAGATCTTCCTCATCCTCTACTTCCACCAGCACGTACAGCATCGAATACTTCCAAAGCGGGAGTGCTCTCATCTATTCGAACGAAATGACCTAGTCAGTGAAGCCGCTGTGTCTTCATTCGCTGAATTATATCAATGTCAAAATATAACTCATCGTTCCATCGTCTGCGGTATTCGCCATAGCAAACGTGTAAAGGATCATAAATTGGTCGTGAAACTTTTTTCTAGAAAACCCTCAGGGCAGACTTGTCAGAAGTCGACATGTTCCACGCTTCTACACTATATATTAGGACAGGGATGATGAGTGACTCTGTCCAAAGTAATACCTGTTGGCAAGAGTAGTTCTGAGTTGGATTTCAGGGCTGAAATTATTATTGGTGTTAATGCTGGTCCCTATGTAGACGAAATTGTGTACGATCTCGAAGTTATTGCCGTGTCGTGAGTACGATGACTTTTTGTGTGATGTTTCGCCTTGCTCTCATTCACTACCAGACTCATTCGCTTCGGCTTGAGGCCGATAATAACAATATCTTTTTTACCTTCTCTATTCAGCTCTGCAGCGCTTATTATTCTCTCCAGCATCAAGTTAAAGTAATCACACGATAAATATTCACCCTGCGTGAAACCTCGTTTGGTATCGAACGCCTTGGGAAGATCCTTCCAAATCCTACATTACGTTTTTCATGTTGTCCATTGTTGCGTCAATTAACAGACCTGCATAAGTTTGCGGGGATATCAGACACAGTGGCGTAGAGGCTCCTTACTGTGCTGTCGAAGGCAGCTTTAAAATCGTTGAAAAGGTCTTGTTGTACGTATTGTTTTCTCACGGTGCTTTTCCGAGATCTATCGCATGGTGAATATCTGGTCAGTGGTTTATTTACCAGGCCTAAAACTAGACTGATAAGGTCAAATCAGTTTATGCGTTCGACAAGGCTTATACCACGGTAATTGACGCAGACCGTGGTGTCCACTTTTTTATGGATTGGGCAGAGCACACTTAAATTCCAATCGTTGGATAAGCTTTAGTACCACCATATTTTGCAAAGTAACTGATGCATGCACCATGTCAACTCTGAACAGCCATGCTTTGTTGGTTGACCGTCAATTCAAGCCGTTTTGTTGTTCTCTAGGCGGGCAATCGCTATTCGAACTTCAATATGGTCAGGTAGTGGAACGTCTGTTCCATCGTCTTCGATTGGGCTTTCGGGTTCACCATCTCCGGGTGTTTCATTTTCACTGCAAGTGTTCCCCCCATAAATTCAATAGGTTCTGGGCGTCGGTGGCTGGTGGCTTTGTGTCCTACAAGAGTCTGCTGCGATCTGCTCTAAAACACTGGATACATGCCTTCCATCACTACATGATCGATTTGCTTGAAAGTTTTTCGATCTACAGACAGCCAAGTAGCTTGGTGAGCTTTCTTGTGCTGGAATCTAGTGCTACAGAAAACCATATTTCGGTTCCCGTCATGGATGCTGAATTTTCCGACTGTTGTCCCAAAATTACCTTCTTTGCCCACCCTAACGCTGAAGTCGCCAAGAACAATTCGGACGCGCCGATACCCAATTTGCGCTCCTCTATATAGCCGCTGTAGTTTCACAAGACCCCACCTTCATCCGTCCTTGTACCGTCCATTGCATTTCCTGGTCGGCGGTGACGTCAGCCTTTAATTTTATGAGGACATTAACCAGCTGGGCAGCGGCACCTTCCCAATTAATAGACTGGACATTCCTGGTCCATGCCCTAAAAACGGTATCCTTAAAATATTTGCGGGGATAGTCATCAAAAGGGGATCCCTCATCTGTTTTTCATGTGATGGGTCCCAAACCATACGCACAACCGTAAGGGATTCGCCTTATCTTTTTAGCTAGCCTCCAAAAGGGTGTTTGTTGCCGTCTAGCTACTGAACTGGTGAAATTCGGAATTCGCTCAAAACGATACACAGAAAAGAAATTACCGAAAGAGCTTGAAGGTTGATTAGGATAAGATGTGAGCAAACCCTCGCTCCACAAACTTTGAAGAGCCAGAGCGGTGAAATAAATTCCCCTAGTAACAAAGTAAGGGGTGATCTTCCGCACCAAACCGAATTTCTAATCCGGAGCTCATGCCCGAGCTCCATTCATTAAATTCATGGTGTAAAACTAGGAATGATGATGCGAGCTACCTCTAAATTTTTAATATAGAGTTAACCCCCGAACTCTTTTAACAGCCGAACGAATATGAATACATATGTACATATATCAACACCCACTCCCAAAGCTCAGACAGGATTAAATACCTTAGCTGCTTTCAAGGAGAAGTCCATGAGTGAGACGTTCTAAAACCTCCTCTACTTTTGCCTTTATCTAGAACTTACTTTAAACGTCTAGAAGGTTCGCAGTCTAAAGTACATGATCAAGTTTTATCTAATTTTCTCTTAAAGGTTTGTAGCCTTATAAAGGGTGTATGTAGGGCGCAATAGATAGTCAGTATAATCTAATCTACGATGGTAAGAAGGTTCGTCTTGTCTAGCAAATGCAATTATCTATGATTTGAATAATAATGCCAGTAATAAATGGCATAAAGCTAGGGTGGCAGCCAAAAGGGAAAGATGAAAAGTCGACTTGCATGAAACGGTTAATTTATACAGGGTGATTTTTTAGCTATTACCTTTTTAGCAACACTGGTTTAAGCAGCTCACATTTCGTGTTTTGTATCACTGTAAAGCATCTTCAGTTTACTTCATAATTTAATAATGAATCGTCTTACAAACGAACAATGCGTGCAAATTCTTGAATTTTATTATCAAAATGCGTAATCTGTTAAGGAAGTTCATCGCGGGCTTGGCTTAATTGTCAATTTTGTAAGGACGATTTTTGAAGATCAGCCAGAAGAATTGCAAGAGCTACCAATGCATTCCAGAAAAAGTCACAGTTTGGTGAGGTTTTTGGGCTGAAGGCATCATTGGACCGTACTTCTTCAAAGATGATGCGAATCGTAACGCGACTGTAAATGGTGAGCGCTACCATTTTTTCCCCCTAAAATGCAAGAGCTTGACTTGCATGACATGTGGTTTCAATAAGACGGCGCTACATGCCACACAGCAATGACTTTTTGTGAGGCGAGCTCGGTGAATATTTAATTTACATTCGGGACCGGTCAATTGGCCGCCTAGATCGTGCGATTTAACGCCTTTGGACCATTTTTTGTGTGGCTATGTTAGATTTTATGTCTATACCGACAAGCCCGCTTCAATTGACGCATAGAGGAAACATTGAAGCATTTATTCGTGAGACATCGGCCGAAATGTTTTAAAGAGTAAGCCAAAATTGGACTTAGCGGATGGACCATTTGAGGCGCAGTCACGGTCAACATTTGCATGAAATAATCCTCAAGCGTTAAATTATATGGATCGTACCATCGATTCAAATGAAGATTTCATGCATTTTTTTTTTGAATTTTAAGTGTTTTTTGAAAAACTTTCATTTAGCTCTTAAAAAAACACCCGTTATTTCTTTATTCTTCCACTCGATGGGTGATAATTGAAACTGAAAGGCCTCGTAAAAACGGTTGGTGGGACAAACTTAAAAGAAAAAGTTTTTTTTTATTTCTAAGATTTATAAAATTGAATTCTGTCAAAATTACGAAATAAATTTAAAGTCAATATGAAAAAAAAACGTTTCTCTTTGTTTTCAGAAAAAAGTTTTATAATCTAATAAAGAAATCAAAATACATATGTAAATGGCTAAATTTCATTGTTGTCTCAATATTTTTTGTTTCAACATCAAAATCAGAAATCAAATGAAAATCCGATACTCACGTATCAGCTGTGATTTTGTTGCTATTGGGAGCAAATGAAGTAATATTTATTTATAAAAAAAAAAATTGTTTACAAACAAAATATTTACAAACAAATCGACTTCAAAAACCGTTACTAAACAACCAAAGTAAACAAACTCCACTTTCAAACGAACCTTGGCAACACAACCTTGCTTTAGCAACTATATCACGGCCACGTGGCAACTGTAAAAAATGTGATTTAAAATTTTTAAAATTTTTTCGCATATCCAAATCAATTTCCTAGACGAATACACGTGAATTTTCATCACCAAGATGTCCTTGAAAGGCAACACTGCCAAACAGGCTGCAGACAAAAGCGGCGCTGGAGACACACTTAGCATGTCGAGTGGTTCCTCCGTTGACAGTCAGGGTAAAACAAGATCTACACCAAAAAAAAAAAAATGAATTAAATAAAAAAAAGAAATTTTTCTTTTCAACAGAAGCTGCTGTTAAAAAGAAAAAGGATATACAGCCCACAGCACCAGTTATACCAGTACCCGAGTATACCGAAGAGGATTTGAATAAGCTCACCACCTTCGTACAGCGCATGACATTGCTCTTTGCTTTGGATCATCGCGACTGGCACGAGGAAACATTGAAGATTATAAAACGTTGGTTCATGGAAGTCAACCATCCGATAATGACAATATTTTATGATCGCAATATACTTAGCGCTTGCCTAGGTTTTCCGCTAGCACCAGTGGCTGACATCAGCTATTTTGTGCGCAAACCAAATCAAATCTTCACCGTAGACGGTTTCCACGATGAGATTAACTTTGGCACCATACACGAGGATGTCGATGGTTGTTTGCTGAAAATTATGCAATATGTATATCAGCCAATATTTCGCAATTACAAAGATTGGAATGATAATATAAAGAGTCGCTTCTGCAGAGCAATGGACAAATTTCTATGTTACCTCACTAGTCTACATTATAAAATGGCTGGACTCACAGTGCTATACGTGCCCTATGTGGTGAAGCAAATCTCACGGCCGGATATACAACATGATCGTGAATTTGTGAAGAATCTCGAATCGATTGTGGTCTATTGGACAACTCAGATACGCACGCTAATAAATGATAAGACGCTCGTGGCTCAACATGACTTTGTTGTACCCACCGAGGAATATGAGTTCTGGCTATATCGATGTAAGCAAACAGTTAATAAACATATATTGTTTGCCTCATTGTTATTATTATTATTATTTCACTGTGATTTCCTCCTAATAGTCGAGGTACTCCAAGGCCTGGACACACAATTACAAAATGAAGACGTACAGCAAATCATACACGTTTTACGCAACTCCCATTCGGTGTATATTAAACAAGTGGACGAACTCATCGAGGAGTGCCATAATGAAATGGAAGAAGCGAAATCTAATATTAAATACTTGTATTTACTCAACGAGCCTTGCTCACGCATCGATCAGGCCGAGTCGCCCGCCGCCGTGCCAACACTCATACCGCGCATTGTGCACATTATACGTTATATTTGGTTGAATTCTGAGTTTTATAAGCGTCGGGATCTCATCACCGGTCTATTTCGCAATCTCAGCAATCAGATCATTAAGTTTTGTCTTGATCAGGTCAACGTGGACAAAGTACTTCAGGGAAATCCAAGATTTGGTATACGTATGGCGAATATGGCAATCGATTGTTGTCTCTCTTACCGTGCTATATATGATTTAATGTCGAAAGAACATGCTTCTCGTAAGCCGGATGTTGGTTGGGATTTGGAAAACGCAATGATATTTAATCATGTGGACGCATTTATTGAACGGCTCAATGATCTAATTGACATATGTGAATCGATGATTGTGTTCGGTCGCTTGGACGAGACGGAGACAATACCGAAACCAATCTTCGGCGGCACCAATGGTGAGGAATTTGAGCGCACTGCCGAAGGTGTTGAAAAACAATTTATGGTATTATTGGATGCTTTGGAGCATGATTCTAAGGAACTTATATTGAATGTAAATAAAAACGAGTGGTGAGTGTTCTTAAGGAATCTATCATGCAGTTGCTAAGAGACCTTCTTTTCATAAAAAATATTTACATATGTATGTATGTATATGTATGAAAAATTGCTTCCTCTCTCACCCAAATTTGCTTATAGGTACGAGGAAGTTTTGAAATATCGCCGCACAGTGCAGAGTTTTGAGGAGACGATTCAACGTCTCATGTCAAATGTGTTCCAACGCATCTGCAATATTGAGGAGGGTCTCGAAGTCTTGAATGTAACACTTTTCTATTCATATCGTGCTAGCATTCGCAAAACTTACCTCCGTCAAGTGAGCGATGTCTGGATAATGTTCGATAAGGAGATGTCGGACACAACTAAAATGTTAATGGAACGTGTAAAACTACACGAATCTTGGATACCATATTATGTTTCACGTGCCATCGGCTATCGCATTAACCTCGAGCGTCTGCAATGGCTACGCGATCGACTCAACACATCTGAATGGTTACCGGTGGTGCCCGAAGCAAAAATAGTGCTAGATAAGTTTGAAAATCTTAAAAAGGATTATACCAAAGAGATTAAGAAAGCTTTCGATGAATGGACAAATAACTGTAGTAGCACAACTTTAGAGAGCCGCTTGGAGCGCACCTTAATCGTACGTAGTAAAATCAAACGTGGCTTGATCGAATGCAATATGGATCGTACGATACTGAGCATATGTGATCAAGCGAGACATTTCGAGAATCTTGGTTTTCAAATACCGCCGCTCATACGCAAGGTGTACGATCGTTATAGTACACTACAGTTTGTCTACAACAGCGTACTTACCGTCTGCTTGGACTATAACCGTATTTTGGCTGCACTCTCCGAACAGGAGAGAAATCTCTTTCGTGCACTGATCCATGCGTGTGATCGTAAAATTGCGCCTGGTCTCTTCAAGTTAACTTGGAGTGGTGAATTGAGCGATGCTTACATAGCGGACTGTGCCAAGCATACGAAAAAATTACAAGACTCGTTGGACATTTATAAACGTGCTAATCGTCAGATTGCTAAAACGTGTGAGAAAATCTGCGACACGGCATTGATAAAGCTGGTGTTAAGTGGTGCTGTCGAACTGTCGGTTTTCGAACTGGCACTAGCGTCATCTACGCGGAAAGCAACAAATGCTATTTTAGGTCACTACGAAACAATAGTGGAGCTACTATTTGCGGTATTCACCGAGTTTCAGCCGGTGTTGGATGAGGTGAGTATGAGATTTAGATTAGCCAACTCGATCCAAAAAAGTGTTGTAGACTGAAAACATTACAAACGTAGGAATCTGTCGCTATCGCTTTGAGGAATCCAGTAATCCCTTACGATTTTTTTATTACATTATTATATTATTAAACAAAAAATAATAATTACAGAAAACATCGAATCTAAATGTTTATGCTTCGAACCTAGCGATATTAGCAAATGACAGGTTACCATATGATATTAGTGATGAGAGTTGGCAAATCAGAGACGCTGTTTTTTGACAAGAAAATACTTACGTTCGACTATGCGGAAGGTAGTTGGCTGAGTCTTGGTCCAACCAACATCTAAAAATTTAGAAAATTAATTGAAATATAGTAAAAAGAATAAGTAATTCGTTGGTTCTCCGCTGAGAATGTCAACCCCTCCGAATGTATATCTGACATGAAATAAAAGCTCGCCATAAAAATTCATGTTTTGATGTTTGCCACCAAATGTTTATTCTCTTTTTACTACGTTTATTTTAAGCCGACTCCGAAAGGCAGATGGATTTTTATTAGCAATGTTTATTCCATGTCAAAAATATATTCGGTGGGCCAAAAGTTTTTCGAACTTCGAGTCCATTACGAAGCTGAGTGGACCTTAGCAGTGTAGGTATACCTGGTAAATCCACCATTGATCAGGTATTCAGAATACGCCAAATTTTGGAAAAAAAAAACGTGGAAAAAAAATCGATTTTAAAGCCTTTGACAACACACTAAGGAGCTGCCTCTGCGCCGCTATGTCTGAATTTGGTATCCCTACAGCCGTACTGATGCTACACAACACCAGAAGCGCAGTAAAAATCGGGAAGGATCTCTTCGAGCCGTTCGATACCAAACGAGGTTTTAGAGAAGGTGACTCTTTATCGTGTGACTTTTTTTAATTTTTCTTGAGAAAATAATACGAGCTGCATTGACATTGTTGGCCCCAACAACCGAAACCGTGAGTTCTACTTTCTCCAGACTTGATAAAGAAGCGCAGCGAATAAGTCTGTTAGTGAACGAGGGCAAGCCGAAATATCTCCTACCATGAAACAAACAGTCATCTCATTCGCGACTTGGTTCCCAGTTTTGACAGCCATAACTTTAAGGTCGTAGATAACTTCGTTTATCTTGGAACCAGTATTAACACCATAAACAATGTCAGACTAGAATTCCAACACAGAATCACTCTCGCTGCTTAGGACTGAGTAGGCAATTGAAAAGTAAAGTGCTCTCTCGTCGAATGAAGATCAAATTTCACAAATCGCTCATCTTCCCCGTCCGTACCGTGCATAGACGATACAACATCCGATGAGTTGGCCCTTTGAGGTCTTCGAAAGAAAATTTTGCGAATGTTTTATGTTCCTTTGCGCATTGGATACGGTGAATACCGGTAAAACAATGAGCTGTTCAAGTTATACGGTGACATTACCATAGTTTGGAAGGACCATGTAGAGAAGAACCTGGTTTCACTTGATATTTCCAACTGGTGCCAAACAGCGAAGAGAAGAACCGAATGGCGAGCTATTGGTGATTCGGCTATAATCGCGTAAGCGGTGCCCACGGCAATGAAGAAGAATATGTTGTGGAAACTTGAGGACGTAAAATATTATATGAGCATTGAAGAGATACAAGGTGCTACGTGCGATCTAATCCTATACCTCATGAGTAAGGAACTTGAAAAGTTATTCCAAATACCACCAATTGACACTGCAGTAGAAAACATTGCGGCGGAATCTGTGGGAATCTTTGAGATTAGTGGTGTTAGTTACATTTTCTACTAGAACCTTGGGCCACAGAGAAATGGAATGGTGAACATAGTACACTGTATACAAATCCCACCGCTTTATCTGCGAAAAAAGGTTTGAACCCTCTTTGAAAGGGGGTAGATGTTGCCGTAACGTACGGCTCATCAGTGGAACTTACAACATCTGTACTGACTGACTACAAAAATCTTCTTACAGTTTTGTGAATATTGCGCAAACTAACAGCCTGGGAAAGCACATCAAGTATAAGCTGGCTGCAATTGAAGAAATTGTACAATGAAATGTGCGAGTGAATTGGAAGACGGATTTGGATGAGCTGGAATGAAGGCACCGTGTGCTTACCACCCAGTTTTTGTTCACACTGACTGTATGACGGTTATAGGTCTATGAGACAGGCATGAGTTAGACGTTGAAATACCTCCTTTTTTTTCTGGCTATATCTACAATAGAACACGTCTTAGATATCCCCCAACTTCGCAGTTCAGGGGAATAAAAAGAGATACAGAAACTAACTATAACCATAAGGTCATTAAACGTCTTTAGCGACGATTACTTAATCTAGAATCAAATTGAACCACCATATGGCACTATCAAGAACCAGGGGGTCTATTTGAGGCATGGCAGCCAGGCAATGTGTCTTTTACTTTATTTATTTTACTTTATTTTCTTGAATTGGTTTTCCTTTATAACACGAGAAGTGTTATACATATACATATATTGATGGTTTTCCTTTATAACACGAGAAGTGTTATACATATACATATATTGATTACATAGTATATACTAATGTTTTATTTTTAAAAATTAGAATTCAATTATTTTAATTACGTAATACATATATTATTTGTGGCATCTCGATTTGAGCAAAAAGAGATTTTTTTCTTATTTTTTGAAAATTTTTGTTCCATAGCACTGAAGGGAGCGTCTCAAAAAAAAAAGGTGGCTGGTCCTGGTGGTTTGGTCGCTTGAGGACATCTGAAAAAAAAAATCAAAAAGATTATTGTTCAGTGAACTTTTCAGTCTGTTTGGAACTAGGCTTAAGCAATTTCGTTGAAACATAAAAAAAATGGGTGACTTCGGAAGAAGGTGAAATATTTTTTGAGTAGAAAATCTAATTTCAATCCAGACGGTTATATGAAAAATGTTTATCATCCCGGCCGACTGTAATAACGTTATTTAGAAGAAAACGCGTTGAAAGCTTCGACAGTAGGAACCAATAAGTCTTGCCGTTTGAAGCTACCTTGCGGCTCCAGGCATACTGCTGTGAGGCGCTCATTTATAGGTACGGTAACTTCGTTAGTATTTCGAAATTTGTTCTAAAATGTTTGCAGTGTATTATAAAGGTTGACGAATTTCGAGGCTCCCTACTTTTCTAAAGAAAAAATCACAGTTATTTCAAATTTAATGGGTAATTCGAAACATCCTTTGGAATTTATTTTTCGAATAAACTTTTCTCTTTCAAACCTCGGTCCCGGCCATGTCTCAGATGGTCCTTTTTTTAGTTCAATTTCCACTGATTCAATCGTACGAGCATTTCGACTAGTATCTGGTGAATAACACGCTTGATATTTTGTTCCAAGACCTGATACGAAGCTGCACTGTACGCATAGAATTTAGACTTTACATATCTCTTCATGAAAAAGTCTAACGGTATGCTATCATACGATCTTGGTAGCCAATCAACCGGCCCAAAAGTGGCGCCGTCTTGTTGAAACGTTACGTTCTCATCGGAATTATTTTTGAAGAAATATGGACCGATGATACCACCGACCCTCCTTCTTCAGGTTACTCTTCATTCCAAATGCGCCAATTTCGCTTGTTTACATACCCATTGAGCGAGAAATGGGTTCGCTTGGATCTTCTTGGAACTTTTCTACGCGTAAAATGCGCCAAATCGTTCCATACTTCGGTCCGAATTGCTGCGAACGACGCCAAATCGACTCCACATGGTCTTCGTGTAGACTCTCAGCTATATTTTCTTCACTGCGTGCTGAATGAATGCTAGTTATCAAGTGTGATGGTGTTGCGAATAGTTTATCCAGTACTACGATTATATTGTATTGAATGTTAGTTGAACAAAGCGCACGAAAGACGTTGTTTACAGAATGTGAATTTTCGTAGTAAAAATGATTGATTTGTAAACTATCTTCAAGCGTAGGTCATTCCATGATGAAATGCCAAATAATTCTGAACAAAAATAATTATAAATGACAGCTTGACATGACTCATGCGTGATCTGAAAGTACATCTAGTTAGATCACTGAAAAAAGTGCTTATAGTTGGATCACCCGTTATGTATATATAGTTATTTCGCGGGAAAAAATGTTTCCAAACTAAGTTACCAGACTACTTCCTTAACTCTCCAGCCACAAGCATAAGTTATTTATAATTCTTCAACCAATCACCGAAGCTATTGATCAGCCTTTAGTCGACGAAAAAGAATAAAAGAATTTTTTAGACAAAAACTTATCTCTGTTATTCTTATCATTCGCCTTTGCTTTACTTTAAGATGGAGACTGAGTGGTATGAATATATCACCCAATTCGATGCTATGCTAAATGCTGCACTCATGACCTGCGCTCGTAACTCTTTACTGAATGTGTACAATCTGGTGCGCTCCGAAGGAGATATACTGCCTTCTCCCGTACTAATTTTAGAAGCGGATATTGTTGAGGGCAAGGTAAGAGCTTCGACGACTAAAAATGGAATTTACAAACATACAAACTCGTTTATATGTATAACAATAATATTTTCCCACTTTCACCAGATACAACTTACACCCAATATGACAGATATCAAGCAACTTTTTGCTGGAATATTCGAACGCGTTGGCACCTGCTTAGCGGTTATACCCAGACTCACAGCCAAATTGAAATTGCCAAAAGAATATCAACAACCGTTATTTTCAACAACATTTGCCAATGATATCGAGGCAAAGGAAATACAAGCCTCACTGGAATATGAAGTGAAGTACAATGAAGAAGAAATCGAAACATTTTTAATGGGTTGGCGTTATTATCGTGATATCTGGGAAAAAACAGAATCGGAGTTCACTAAACACATCGTCTCTACCGAGCAGAAAGCATATGTCTTCGAACAGAGTATTGAATATTACAGCAGTTTGGCGGATGAGATTGGCATGAAGGATTCCATTGTAAATGTATACTTTATATTAGTAAATCAGAATTTTCTTAAGAACACCCTAATGGATTATATTGAAAAATGGCAGATGCTGAATATAAAGCTATTACTGCGACGTGCAACAGCGAAAATTAATGGTGAGTTTGAGGCTTAAGACGTTTTCAAGTACTTTTCGGAGCCACCAGAGATGCTCTGACAAACAATCCGATACCGATATTTCGTTTGGTTAATAGGAAAAGTGAACTTAACGAAATAATTTTGTTTTGTTTGGGCACCTTGTTATCGAAACGAAATGAAATGCTTCAAAATTTTCCATTAACTGCATGGAAAAAAAATTAGTAATGTGAAATTTGAGGCGGCATTGTAGCCTTGGTTTAAAATTATAAGTATTCCTCACATTTTGGCCTCGGTGGGTTTCACTATTAACAGCTCTCTCTGGCGGCAGGTCATATCTTATAGATAGTTAAGAACTATAGTGAAACTAAACGCCCTTTGAACAAAATTTCAAAATCTGATAGTATTTCTGAAACGAAATGAAAAGGTACTAACAAACATTTATCAGTCGTTCAAAGTGACGGCTTAGGATTAAAAGAAAATCCCGATGCTTGTAGGAGAAATATCTACAAACTGGATTTCTTGCAATTACGAAAATTAGGAAGTATATCTTCTTTTTCGGATAGGAACAAAGACAGAGGGGGATTAGATGAGTTGGCTTTAGGGGGTATGTGAGGAGGTGGTTAAGGCCGTGCGGAGATTCTCCACATGCATGGTGGTTCGGCTTCAATGAGATGCTTGCACAGCAAAGCATTATGGTCCTTAACACGTAACATAGATGCAAGTGATGCTCCGGCGACATCAGGAGGGCTCCTGTCGCGGTCCTGAGGGTAGTGTTCTGGCAAGAATGTAACTTCTTCATCTGCATCTCGTTCGTCCACGCCAGCAGATCGCTGCAGCATAGTTATCGACCGGTCAATTGCTTCATAAGTTGGCAGCTATCTTTCTTTATCATTGGCACAGGTGCTCTTGCGGCAATTGCGGACATATTCGGAGTGAAGGAGTGTAGCCTGTCAAGTGTGACTACCACATCTTTGGGTTATTTTTGGGCGGAATTTTCATGCCATCGACCTTCACATCTTGTTCGAGCCACCACCCTGCGGAAACTCTTATTTAATTTTTCTTGGCTTCGGCTCGAAATATTACCGATTATCAATTAGCGAACCACTTTTGTGCTACACGTTCGTTTACAGTATCGGGCCCATAAACTAAATCAATTTTTTCAGCCGATTTGGCTGCTTTTTCGTCTTGATCGAAATTAAAATATAGCGAATTTTCTCTTTGCCGGTGTCCATATTTGACGAGCACTCACAACGTACTAAGTCAATCAATCGAAAAACTGTCAAAGACAAACTTTTAGCGCGAATAAAGACATTTTCAGCGCTGTATGGTATGACATGATGCGACACGTAGCACTAGTACTATGGACAATAACGCCATCTCTCAGATAAAAACCGAACAAACTTTTTACTTGACCTTATATTAGGTCACCTTTCAAGTGTTAAAATTCAAATTCCTCTACAACTCTATTTCTCTCTCTGAAGAATTATTTATAAGAGGTTCCAGTAACTTTAGTTTTGATTTAGTTCAAAAATGTTAGGAGTTTTTCTAGGGAACTCGTGACGACTTGTGTAGAGGTTCGAATCATCGCTGGTCTGAATTAACTAGAGCCGACTGTATGCATAAACGTTTGTGACTATTGAGTTCACCTTTACGCTGGTACGCATCAACTCATTGTTCTTGATAACTTGTTTTCCGTTTCCAGTGGCGTTGATGGGAGGTGTCTAAGTCGGTGGAACGCATCCCAACAATAGTCGATCGTTTTCTCCAATTATTTTGTTATCTCGTACATAATAACCGATTTAGTTGATTAAACAATTTATTTACTTTAATTAAAAAAACTGCAATAACTTTTTTATGAAAATCCATTACATTAATTAACATATTTTTATCATTTAAGGTGTTTACCGTTATATTCGAAAAAATGGCGAACGCATCCAAATTGTGCCACGCAATCTTAAAGAAGCTCGCGAGGCAACGGAACTATATGAATTTCTCTTCAATGATGCTCCACGAAAGCAAGCAGAATTCCCAGCAATGTTGAGTCTATTTAAGCTACTCGATTTTTACCTAGTCGAAATACCCGATGCCACACGCAAACTCGTCACCAATCTCGAAGCTGAGTGGGATGCTTACCTAAAAATTCTATTACATTCTAGTGATATGCTGGAGATGACACGTGAAGAATTTAAGAAGACTCTTTTGAGACAAGCTGAAAAGTTCAAGACAGTCATGAAAGAGTTTCTAGCCGATTTCATGCTGAAACTACCAACATCTGCACAAACGTAAAAATTATTATAAGCCTTCTTACAAGGATATTTTACTGCCTTTCTTTCCACTTTCCACACTTACCTAACAACCCCTTCCTTCCTTCTCTTCCCCTCACAGAAAACCGAAAATTGCACTGAAATATTTAAAAATTATTGAAAATAAAGTGAGAGATTGTTTCAATTTCGAAAAGAGTTTAGCAAATGATTTGAGTACGTTCCACATCAATCAACCGGATAATTTGGATTTGAAGAAGTTGGAGAGTGAACTGCTAGTTGTGAGAGGAATTTGGGAGCTCATACTTGAATGGCAAACCGCCTGGGATGAATGGCGTAAAGGCAATTTCTGGCAAATGAATATTGATATAATGGAGGAGACAGCCATTAGTTTGTATAAAGAGTTCAATATTTTAAATAAACGTTATATGGAGCGTGATTGGGAGATGCTGCAGGTGACAACGAAAATTGTGGACAGCTTTCGACGGACAATGCCTCTAATAACAGCGCTCAAGAATCCATGCATGAGAAAGCGTCACTGGGATAATGTTCGCGACGTTGTTGGAGTGTAAATATTTATACATATATGTAGATTTTGATTATTCGAAGTTGCAATCATATAGTAGCAGGAAAAGTCTGTCTCTTTATGGTTGATACAAATTTTTGTTTAGGAACTAAAATCGCGTTTTGAGGGAGGTCCATGTAGGTTTCTTTGTGCTGTCTGAATATAGTTCTTACTATTTTTTTATAGTGCTAAAGATCTGGCGGTAGACATTCATTTGTAAATTAAAAAAAAATTTCTTAATTTGCTGACCTACTTACAGAGGTCCTCCAAAGCATCGCTGAATGACTATACAGAAGCTCCTGGTATTTAATGAATCTTATATACTTATAGCAAAAACTTGGATTCCGAATAAGTGTCAAATATCTACAATTGGCATGTACACGTACTTATTAGTAGGATTGTTTGATTAAGTCGGTTGAAGCTACAGGGATAAAGCGGGAACTCCTCATGATCCAAGAAATAGTGCTACTGAACATTCATAAAGTTTTCAAATTAATATCATTTAAAGACGTAATACCTGGTTAAAATCTTGGATCCAAAAAAGAAAATTCGGGTTTTCTTTGTTCCAAATTAACCTTACTCATCAACGTAAACTGCATCCAATATTCATATAATTTTACCAGCCCCCTGAATCAATACCACTTTTGTACAACGATTTGGTTATTTCTCTCTTCATTCTAGTTTTTCCCTCTTTATTCTAGTATTTTCTATTCAATCAGATCATGTTTTTTTAAAGTCTGTCCACAGCCAGTAGTCCGTGGGAGTGTCAAATCAGTTGATTACGGGGGATTGAGTTTGTTGTCCCATTTTCATTGAAGTGTGCTAGGCGTTGTCTTGTCTATAACCCTATATAAATATTATAGATATACTAATGGTGTTTCCCTTCTCAAGATAGTCGATAAATATTAGATTAAGCACATGCGAAAATACCGAGGCCATAACTTTCCCAACCGTCTGTTTTGTATACCAGCACTTTAGGTAAGGTTCATCAATTGGTGTCCAAGGAGTTGAAGATCGTTTTGATTCCAAAGAAAAGTGATGGGTTGATGTTTTATCCATTGTCATATATCGCTACAAAGCTACCGATTTGAATGATTGAATAGAGCTATTTCAGAGTCAAATGCACAGACAATATAAAGCCAACACATGCGTTTCCTATTGCTATGTCTGCGATGTCAACAGCAACTTCACTACATTCAGAACAGTTTTGTGAATTTTGCTGATATTTCCTGTTTACAGACTGATTTGGACGTCCAATAAATTCTGTATCTAAAACCACGTTCAAGCTCAGCCAATGTTTTATTGTTGTTTCTGATTCAGCGGAGTCGTAATAAAAAGTTCCAATCATTTGCCTCGCTTTGGCGGTATTTTTTCCATTGTTATGAAGGTGACAAAAGTAGTGTTGTTCTAAGCCCAATAGTTCACAACACCATCAGCAGAATATTCTACAAATGTTTGTCCTAACTAAAAAGCCGCATAGAGCCATCTATGTGTTAGACCCGAGAGTTTTCAGTTCATATTTTCATCCAACCCATTTTGGTAAACCGATCGAAAATTTTGAATGAAAGACGGTAATCGACTATTCGAATATAGAACTGCGACTGTGAATTTTCCGACTATGCATCAGATGGTTACTAGTATAATACTAGTTCATTCATACCTTCGCTTAAGTTGAAAAATGAACTCGACACTGAATCTGTCTGAAGGTCTGCTGTAATGCCAATTGGCTGATTGCCTTAACTTGTCATACACTGAATGCTTGTATCACCAAATGACTCAAAACTGGTACATTTCGGCCAAAGCGGCAACCGTGATCTATTGTTAAAAGCACAGAACTTAAATTTTTTAAAACACTCCAAAGCACCGAAATCGCTCTCTCTACTGAGGGTAAATACCTAGGCATAACGTAAGATAGCAAACTCAAGGAATCCGGAACAAGGAAGAAAGGTGTAAGAAAGCTATGAAAACACTCTACGCCTGCAAGGCGACAATCGGTAAAATATCGGGACTAAGACCCACATTTTTCTACGAGTCAATGTCTGGTAACCAGCACTAGGCGAGGCTACTTCTAGATACAAGTTAAGGCGGACGGCCTACATACTTATTACAGGTGCGTGAGGGTATCATCTCTTACGAAATCCCTTGATATTCTGCATCGTCTTTCCCCCGCAGACCTATACGGGAAACTCCATTCGACCTAAAACCCCACAAGACTAATTACAACTCGACCATGATGGAAACTCTACATCTATCTCGTAAGAGGTAAACCACGTCCGTCTCCTGTTTCGAAAATGCTTTTTCAATAAAGGTCCCAAAGAGGAACGAATGCCAAACCGCAGCAGTTCCGTAGTTATTTTCACCGACGACTCTACGAGTAAACTGGATGGCGAAATAGGTTGTCCAGTTTACTTTGAACCTCTTGCTATAGAATCAAGTAAAAGATTTTCAAACTACTGCAGCGTCTTCCATGTGGAACTAACCGCCATAACGGAAGCCACTTCATGAATGCTCGTTTCTAAGACTTACTTTCTAATAACCTAATCTATGAAAAACAATCGGACACTCATGCTGCCATTAAGTATCTCAAATGCCATTCTACCATCTCAAAGGTGGCAATAAAAGTCATAGAGATCTCAAACAAACTTTCGGCTGCATGCGAAACATTCATTGCTGAGGTCCCTGGTAACAGGAACATCCCATGGAGCTGCATAGTCGACGAACTGGCCAGAAAGTAAACGATCTTAATCACGGTAAACTCCCCACAAGACGTGAGCATACGGCTTTCATTGGCAAAATTTCTGCTAAGATTAGCATTTACCAGAAGGCCAATAGAATATGGCAGAACGAAACCACGTGAAATGAGAGAAAACAAATCTGGTAATTAATCGGACCTCTATAAGCCTAAAAACCGGTATAGTAACAGAATCTTTCCTATAGTTAAGTTTTCGCAAGTCTTATAGGGACTCGTGGCAGAAGAATGCGCTGCTTCTCAAACGACTTCGGTGTCGGTGAAACACTACCTCTATTACTGCACAACTCTCATCCTTTCAGAGCTTGCATCGGTAGGCAGCATTCATCTCCTGAATGTCATAAGACACACCAACTGGCTTAGACATTTGGAAAAGTGAAAAGAATTTCCTTAGTAGGGCCAGCAGGGGTATCACAATGGGCTAGCCTATTTTAGATTTTCTCTACAATCTTTGGAAAGAAGTTAATCCTGAGTTATATTTTCTGACTCAGTTGATTTATTAATATGTTTCGAAATTGCAGATACGCTCTAACTTTAATTAGTATATAAATTTTTTTAGGAGAACTAAAGATTTAATTCAAATTTCAAATGTAAGAGGGAGATTCCTTCTATTGTATATGACTTGCATCTCAAGTTCCAGTTCGCCTTCTCTCTAATAAATTTATTTTCCATATTTAGTATTTTCGACGAGAACTCCAAAAAGTTTACCCTAGAACTAGTCATTAATCTGGACTTTCAAGCGTACTCTGAGGAGATCCAAGACATCTCAAATGCCGCCACAATGGAATTACAAATTGAGAATGGAATAAAGAATATCGCAAGTATTTGGCGAAAACAAAGTTTCGAAATGGCCTTCTACCGTGATGGCATATATCGCATAAAGAATGTCGATGATTGTATGCAGTTACTCGAAGAGCATATGGTACAAATTTCCGCAATGAAAGCGACCCGCTTTGTGGAGCCCTTTATAGTGGTGGTCGATTACTGGGAGAAGACGCTCTCTTACATAGCGGAAACACTGGAAATGGCATTGAATGTACAACGGCAATGGTTGTATTTGGAGAATATTTTTGCTGGTGAGGATATACGCAAACAACTGCCGGCCGAGGCGAAACACTTTGTCAGTCTTACAGATGAATTTCGCATGATTACCTCGAAAATGTATAACGCCAAGTCGGCGGTGCGGGCAACACATTTGCGGAAGCCACCATTTTTGCTTGAACGCTTTAACAAAATGGACGAACGCTTAGAGCTCATACAACGTGCTTTGGAAATATATTTGGAATCGAAGCGTCAATTATTTCCACGTTTCTATTTCATTTCCAACGACGACCTTTTGGAGATTTTGGGCAATGCCAAGCGCCCGGATTTGGTGCAACCTCATCTGAAGAAACTCTTTGATAACTTGTACCGTTTGGAGTTGAAGCGTGTGGGCAAAACTATGAGTCGGTTTCAGGCTATGGGCATGTATGCGGACGATGGTGAATATGTTGAATTTCTCAATGTGCTATACATTGAAGGCCCCTCCGAGAAGTGGTTAAAGATGGTGGAAGACTTTATGTTAGCCGTTATGAAGGAAAAGCTGAAGCAAACGCGTGCCTCCCTCAAAAAACTTATTAGTAATCGCGAGCAGTGGCTCTCGCTATGGCCGGGTCAAATGTTGCTCACCACATGTCAAATTCAATGGACCACCGAATGTACCCGCAGTCTCATACACTGTAAAATGGTGGATCAGAAGAAACCATTACGCAAATTGAAACGAAAACAAAATAAAGTGCTCGCCAAACTTTCGGAGCTAAGTCGCAAGGAGCTTTCAAAGATAATGCGTCTCAAGGTTAATACGCTTATAACAATTGAAATTCATGGACGCGATGTTATCGATCGCATGTACAAGGTGAATTGCAAGGACGTGAGCCATTTCGAGTGGTTCTCACAGCTGCGCTTCTATTGGCATCGCGAGTCTGAGCTATGCGTTATACGTCAAACGAACACAGAACATTGGTATGCCTACGAGTACACGGGCAATTCAGGTCGTCTAGTCATTACACCACTCACCGATCGCTGCTACATAACATTAACAACGGCACTGCACTTGCATCGTGGAGGCAGCCCAAAAGGTCCGGCTGGTACTGGCAAAACTGAGACCGTCAAGGACTTGGGCAAAGCGCTGGGTATGTGGGTTATAGTCACGAATTGTTCCGAGGGTCTGGATTACAAGAGTATTGGCAAGAACTTTTCTGGTTTGGCACAAACGGGCGCTTGGGGCTGCTTTGATGAATTCAATCGCATCAATATCGAAGTATTATCGGTCGTGGCACAGCAAATTCTATCAATTATGTCAGCGCTCTCCGCTAAATTGACAGAGTTCAATTTCGAGGGTATCGTAATCAAGCTTAGGCACACAGTCGGTCTTTTTATAACCATGAATCCTGGCTATGCTGGTCGCACAGAATTACCAGATAATTTAAAATCTATGTTTCGACCGATAGCAATGATGGTTCCCGACAATGCCATCATAGCGGAAAATTTACTCTTCTCCGATGGTTTCTCAAATACGCGAAGCTTGGCGCGTAAAGTTTTCACTCTCTACGAATTGGCTAAACAACAACTTTCCAAACAATACCATTATGATTTCGGTCTGCGCTCCATGGTCGCTCTGTTGCGTTATGCGGGTCGCAAACGACGTCAACTACCGAACACTAACGAAGAGGAAATCGTTTATTTAGCTATGCGCGACATGAATGTGGCACGCTTAACCGCTAACGATTTGCCACTCTTCAATGGCATTATGTCCGATATATTTCCCGGCGTTACTTTACCCGTTATTGATTATAGTGACTTCAAGACTGCGATTGAGGATGAATTACGAAGTAATGGCTTACAACTCATACCGATCGCCATCAAAAAGATTATCGAACTGTATGAGACGAAGAATTCGCGACACTCTTCCATGATTATTGGTAATACTGGCACTGCAAAGACGGTTACTTGGAAGTGTTTGCAGGGAGCCTTCGTGCGCATGAACGCCAATAAACATCCCGGCTGGGAGGCGGTCATTGTGCACCCGGTCAATCCAAAAGCACTCAACTTAGCCGAACTCTACGGCGAATATAATTTGGCGACCGGTGAATGGTTGGACGGCGTGCTCAGCTCTATTATGCGGGTTATTTGCGCTGATGAAGATCTCACACAGAAATGGCTGCTTTTCGATGGACCTGTAGATGCAGTTTGGATCGAGAATATGAATTCAGTTATGGATGATAACAAGATTTTAACTCTAGTGAATAGTGAACGAATTACAATGCCAGCACAAGTATCATTGCTTTTCGAGGTGGCTGATTTGGCTGTAGCCTCACCAGCGACTGTTTCACGTTGTGGTATGGTGTACAATGATTACAACGACTGGGGTTGGCGTCCGTATGTAAACTCATGGTTAGCCAGGCAAAAAATTCCCGAATATGTAAAGCTGGTGCGTGAATATTTCGATCAATATTTGGATAAAGTTTTAGAATTCAAACGGCAGCGTTGCAAGGAAATCGTCAAGACAAATCAGTTAAATGTGGTCATGTCAATGTGTAAGCTCTTAGAGGCTTTCGCTACAAAACAGAATGGCATTGTACCGGGTAATATTGACGTATTGGAAACAATGAGCAAACTATGGTTTCTATTTTCACTCATCTGGTCAGTGTGTGCCACTGTTGATGAAGATAGTCGCAATCGTGTGGATTCGTACATAAGAGAGCTGGATAGCTCGTTCCCTATTAAGGACACTGTTTATGATTATTACGTCGATCCGGTGCATGGTACGCTCATGCCGTGGGAGAGCATGCTTTCGGACTCTTGGAAATATGATGAAAGGTTAGTTTTAAAAATTTATAAATATTCATATCACAATTATTTTAGTATTAAGTTCCTTATATGTTAGATAAACACTTTCTCGGACTCTTCAAAAGCATTCAGCATTCCGAAATGGCTTTTTAAATACAGCTTGCTCGCTTACCCACTCGGCAAGCGCGGTCGCTTGTATTTAGTTAGTTTGAACTGTAGGCACTGAAGCCTAAAATAAGATGGATCTTCAGAAGTGAGATATTACAATTTCGACTTTTATTGCTCACCCTCACAAAGAGTTTGGCCCTTTCACTCACCGATGCAATTGAAATCACCAAAGGAATACTTCCTCCATAGTTTAGAACCTGAAATATTATTATTAGCTCTGAAGAATGGCCCTAGTCTCTCAAATCGCTACACTAGGTGGACCTTAGTCTTTCACAGAGTACACAGAATCCATGGCCTGGATATATTTTTATCATAACGTCTACTTCCCGGAGAGAGTAATAGTCCCACTTTTCGAATAGGCAAGTTCCGGTCCACTCCCCGGAGAGAAGTGTAGTCTTCCTGTCAAGTTTGCTATTTCAAAGGTTAATCGCTCCTCTTGGAGGAAAGAGCAGTCTTCCTGTTAATTTAAGGAAAAACCCACCTATGCACCGAATTTCAAGTAAATCGAGCCATGAATAAGTTTTTTTCGAATAGGTCAGTCCCTGGTCCAGTTCACGGAAAGAAGACGAGTCTTCCTGTTAATCTAAGCAAAAGGCCACTTTTGTAACGAATTTCAAGCAATTCGATCTACAAATAAGTTGTTTTCGAATAGGTCAGTCCCTGGTCCACTTTCAGGAGAGAAGAGTAGTTCATAGTTCGTAGTTCTTCTCGAATTTTTGTTTTCTTGTAAACCTTTCCAGGCGTTCCAGGTATCGTAGAAAGAATCTGATGAAATTACAAGTCATACGGTAGGTAACTTTTGGAAAAAACTGGATTTTTCCATGCATGCATAAGATTTTTTTTATATAAGACGACTTCTTTTCCGTCATAATGGTATGAGAACCTTCGAACCTTCGTTGTGTTCGTGGGCAGAATGTGTATCATGACTGTGGCATTATAATAATCAGGTTGGATGTTAGAACCTTGACGTCAGCAATATTCATTTAGTTACTAATTTTTCAATCTGGTGGCAAGCAAGTCGCTTAAAGGCGCTTGTCTTGAGAGCTGACCGCGACTGGAGCGCTTTTAGAAGAATCCTTAAAAGAGCAATGCATACTGGACGTCAGTAACGTAATTTTTACAAGCTGGTCGATATGCCCGCAAATCTTAGTGCTTAGCACCTAGTCAATGAAAGTCCTCTACCAACAGTGGCATTGCTTTATTATTTTTATTTTTATGAGGGTTACTCATGCAGCTCATAGCACTCAAAACATTCATAGTCTTCTAAATACTCGCATTTCAGTCTGCCATTCTACAAAATCATCGTACCCACTGTGGATACCGTGCGGTATGAATATCTAGTTTCGAAACTATTGCAAGAAGAACACCCTGTTATGTTAGTGGGTAATGTTGGCACTGGGAAGACCTCTACAGCTGTTAGCGTAATGGATGCCTGCGATAAGAACAAATATACAGTGCTCTCCATAAACATATCCGCACAGGTAACGGTACAAAACTTATATGTATATTGCCTTTTTCTAATTTTTCATTCTTACTCATTCCAACATAGACTACAGCTGCTGGTCTACAGGAATCCATTGAAAATCGCACGGAGAAACGTACGAAAACCTTTTTTGTACCAATCGGTGGTAAACGCATGATTTGTTTCATGGACGACTTCAACATGCCAGCCAAAGACACATACGGCTCACAGCCACCGCTTGAACTTATACGCCAATGGATCGATTATAAATATTGGTTTAATAGACGAAATCAGCAGAAGATCTATGTGCAGAATACACTGTTAATGGCGGCGATGGGTCCGCCTGGCGGTGGGCGCCAAGTGATCTCTCCACGTACACAAAGTCGTTTCGTCATTATCAATATGACATTTCCCACCGAAGCTACTATAATGCGCATTTTCGGCACAATGCTCCAACAGAAGCTAAAACCATTTGCCAATGATATACGTGAGATCGCTTTGAAAGTCACCTCGTGCACAATCGATTTGTACAATGCAGTGGTTGCACGCATGTTGCCAACACCAGCCAAGTCCCATTACCTGTTCAATTTACGCGACATTTCGAAAATATTCCAGGGATTATTACGTGGCCATCACGAAGCGCAGACTAAGCGGTCGATGTTTTTGCGTTTGTGGGTACATGAAGCTTTCCGCGTCTTCAGCGATCGTTTGATCGACGATCTAGATCAAGGCTGGTTTATAAACGAGATGAACAACATACTTGGCAAATATATGGAGATCACCTACCACAGTTTGTGCCCCAACAAAATCGTACCCATATTTGGCGACTTTATGAGCAATCAAGGTTACTACGAGGATCTGCCGTTTGAAGATCTTCGCAAGTATATCAATCGTCAAATGGAGGAATATAATAATTTCCCAGGTATGGCTAACATGAATTTGGTATTCTTCAAGGAAGCTATAGAGCATGTTACGCGCGCTGTACGTGTCATATCTCAGCCGCGTGGTCATGTCCTGAACATCGGTATTGGTGGCTCAGGTCGGCAGGCGCTGGTGCGCTTAGCCGCTTTCATTTGCGAATTCGGTACATTCTCAATTGAAGTCACTAAAAAATATAAAACAAACGAATTCAAAGAGGATCTGAAGAATCTATATAAAGTGACGGGCATCAAACAGCGCGGCACCGTATTCCTCTTTAGCAACGAGCAAGTAGCAGAAAGCTCTTTCCTTGAAATCCTAAACAATATGTTAAGCACTGGTGAGGCGAATCTCTTTAAGTCAGACGAATTTGAAGAATTGAAAACGGAATTGGAGCGACCAGCCAAAAAGGCGGGCATACAGTTTACCACGGAGTCACTTTATAATTTCTTTATGCAAAATGTGCGTGAGAATATGCATATCTCACTCGCAATGAGTCCGATCGGAGAGGACTTCCGCAGTTATATACGTCAATATCCAGCTTTGATTAACAACACTTCACCGAACTGGTTTCGGCTTTGGCCGCAAGAAGCACTCTTAGAGGTGGCACAGAAATTTTTGGCGGGCTTCAAAATCAACGTATCAGTGCCAGGCAAAGAAGATGAGAAGCACAGGGACAGTTTAATACTGACCACTGAGGACCGATTGCAAAAGGCTGTTGCTTATGTGTTCTCAGTAATTCATTCGAGCGTAGCACAAATGTCTGTGCAGATGCTGGCAGAGGTTAAACGGCACAATTACGTCACATCGCCCAATTATCTGGAACTGGTAAGCGGTTTTAAGGCTTTACTGGAAAATAAACGCTTCGAAGTGTCGTCCAGCGCGAATAAGCTGAGGAATGGTCTATCAAAAATTCAAGAAACACAAGAAAAGGTTTCAATAATGTCCGAGGAGCTAAAAATCAGCTCCGAGCAGGTGAAAATTTTAGCTAAGGAATGTGAAGAGTTCATAGCAATCATAGAGATACAAAAGGCCGAGGCTACGGACCAAAAGGAAAAGGTCGATGCAGAGGCAATAATTATACGGCAAGAAGAAGTTGTTTGTTTAGACTTGGCGGCAACTGCGCAAGCTGATTTGGATGTTGTTATGCCAATGATAGATGCCGCCATAAAAGCTTTGGATGCGTTGAGCAAAAAAGATGTGGCCGAAGTGAAATCTTACGGACGGCCACCTATGAAAATTGAGAAGGTTATGGAAGCTGTTTTGATTTTGCTCGGTAAGGAGCCGACTTGGGAGAATGCCAAAAAAGTATTGGGCGAAGTAAATTTCCTGAATGACTTGAAAAATTTCGATCGTGATCATGTTACCGATAAAACATTGAAACGCATTGGCTTGTATACGAAAAATCCCGAACTGGAACCCGACAAAGTCGCTATAGTGTCCGTGGCGTGCAAATCTCTTATGCAATGGATAATGGCGATCGAAAACTATGCTAAAGTTTATCGTATCGTTGCGCCAAAGCAAGAGAAGTTGGACAATGCCATGCGCTCTTTGGCTGAGAAACAGGCAATGCTCGCGGCTGCTATGAAGAAATTAGAAGAGCTGAATGCTGCGATTGCCGAACTTTATCGGCAGTTAAACGAAAAGACAGAACTGCTCAATGAGTTGCGAATCAAAGAGGAACGTCTGAGGTAAGTCTCCTTGCCTTTCATGATTATATGCTAATTTAAGTTTATCCGAAGTGAGTTTTCAACTAGCGCAATAGAACTGTATTCATTTCTTCTTTTTTACTGGCGTAGACACGGCTTACCTTACGCGATTATAGCCGAGCTAACAACATTTCGCCATTCATTTCTTCTTTTCGCAGTTTAGTGCCATTTTTCGACGGAGTGCGGATATTCCTCTTCCAAGACTATCGTATTTTTATTCACCGTATCTCTCATATAGCTTATCGTTCCATCGGCTGCGATGTTTGCTGTTCCCCAACTCGTAGAGGACCATAAATCTTACGCAAAACCTTTCGCTCGAAAAATCCTACAGCCCACTAATCCGTTGTTGTTATCATCCATTCCTTCGCACCATATAGCAGGACGGGAACCATGAGCAACATGTACAACTTGGACTTCATTCGTCGAGAGAAGACATTAAATTAAAGAAGTCTTCTTCTTTATTGGCATTGGCACAGCTTAACCGAATCAATATTTGCGCGCCATTTCTCTCTTCTTTTCGCTGTCTGGCGCCAGTTGGAAATACCAAGCGAAGCCGGGTCACTCCTTCCAGCGGAGTGAATTTCTTCATCTACCTCTCCATCCACGTCGGGTACTGAGCTATATATATCAATATCAACGTATAGCTCGTCAACAAAACTTTCTCTCGCAGATTCCTAGAATCAACTCATCAGATGATGACATCGTCCACGCTTCTGCTCCATATAGCAGTACGGGATCTATCAGGGACTGGTAGAGTTTGGTTTTCGTTCGTCGGGAGAGGACTTTACTCTTCAGTTGCCTACTCAGGCCGAAGGAGCACCAGTGGGCAAGAGTGATTCTACGCTGGATTTCAAGTCTGGCATTATTATTGGTGTTAATGCTGGTCCCTAGATAGACATCTTCTTTGACTTCAAAATTATGACTGTATACAGTGACGTGGGAGCGAAGTTACGAATGCGATAATTGTTTGTTTGATGATAGGAGTTTTTTCGTCTTGCTCTCGTTCACTACCAAACCTCTTTCCTACCCTTCATTATCCAGTCGGGAGAAAGCAAAGTTCACTGCACGGTTGTTTGGACCAATAATGTTAATATCATTCGCCCACGCCAGCAGCTGTACAGCTGAAATTATGTCTCCAGCAATAAATTAAAGAAGTCAAACGATATAGAAGCAACTTGTCTGAGACCTCGTTTGGTATCCGATGCAGACCCTTTTCGTGCTGTGGAAGGCTGCTTTAAAATTGACTAAAACGTGGTTGGGCGTATTGTGATGTAGTCAAGCTTCTGTGGATGCAGTTGTAGTCGCGTCGCGCGCTCTGGAATCGTGAACAACCCTTGTGCAAGATGAGTCTGTCGGACTTGAATCAAACGGATCATTATATAATATATATTATATGTGTAAAAAAAATTAGATTTACTCGTCTAAAGAGGCTGTGCCCTGGGCTTGGGGCCCGCCACTTAGTAACCAGCTCCAATGAAAAGCAAAACGCCTAAGATCCCTCTTATTAGAGTCGAAAAATATCAATAGTTTTTTCATCCATCCGGACGATGTCCGGACAGCTTTGCCAAAGGGTTCTTCATCTCTACGAGAAAACTGACATCTCAGCGATTTCTCTGAAATCCTCAATAGATCAATTAATCCCTTTGCAGAATTGCAAGATTTCCTATAAATCAACTTCTTGAGGTCCTCTAAATTAACCAACTTCTAAAGCTCCTCCCCGTCACTTTATTCGAGCCCTACGGTGTGCGTTTGTGTCCTAAAAGATATCAGAGTGAAAGGAGCTTCGAATATATGTATTTAAAAAAGCGTTCTCTAGAAATAATTTAGATGTATGAAGGCAACCCAACTCATGAATTTGGAAATTAACAGACTGGTCGATACTACATCACCGATGAGTTTAATTGAAATTTAAACTTTCTTCCTCAGAAAACAGCTCGAACGCGCCATTATTTTGGTGGAATCCCTGTCTGGCGAACGTGAACGTTGGATTGAGACAGTTGCCTCACTGGATTTGGCCTTTGAGAAACTACCCGGCGATTGTTTGCTGGCAACTGCATTCACATCTTACCTCGGTCCCTTCGATACCAAGTATCGCGAAATACTGGTTGAGAAATGGATTGGACTGATTGTGTCAAATCAAATTCCCTGCACCGACGAAATGAAGATAACACTTTTCCTCAGCGATGCCGTGACCATACGTGAATGGAATATTCAAGGATTGCCAGCAGATGACTTTAGCACTGAAAATGGTGTCATCGTAATGGGTGGACAACGTTGGCCACTCATCATTGATCCACAATCGCAAGCGAATACGTGGATCAAGAACTTCGAGGCCAATAATGATTTGAAAGTGATTGATTTCTCACAAACTGATTATCTACGTTCGTTGGAAAGAGCTCTGTCCGCTGGTAATCCTGTACTGCTACAAAATGTTGGCGAGAGCTTGGATCAGGCCATAAATCCTATCTTACGGAAAAGTTTCACCATGCAAGGCGGTCAGAAATTGATAAAGTTCAATGATAAATACATCACCTATAACGATGCCTTCAAACTATACATAACTACGAAAATCACCAACCCCCACTACCCACCGGAAATCTCATCGAAAACAACAATCGTGAATTTCGCCGTCAAGCAAGATGGATTACAGGCACAACTCTTAGGTATTATAGTACGCAAAGAGAAGCCCGCGTTGGAGGAGCAGAAAGATGAATTGGTATTGACGATCGCGCGCAATAAACGTACACTCATCGAGTTAGACAATGAGATACTGCGTCTACTGAATGAAAGCCGTGGCTCATTGCTGGAAGATGATGAACTTTTCGCCACACTACAAAAATCACGTCAGACTTCGGTGCTGGTGAAGGAATCGTTAGCCACCGCTGAAGTGACAGAAATCGAGATTGATGCTGCGCGCCAAGAATATCAACCAGCTGCCGAACGCGCAGCAATTCTCTTCTTTGTACTCATGGATATGTCGAAAATCGATCCGATGTACGAGTTCTCACTCGCTGCATACATCCTACTCTTCATACAGTCTATTGAACGGAGTCCCAAACATCAGATCGTATACGAACGTATCCAGAATATAAACGATTATCATACATATTCCGTGTATAAAAATACTTGTCGTGGACTTTTCGAAATGCACAAACTACTCTTCTCCATACACATGACAGCCAAGATATTGGAATGTGCTGGCAAGTTGGTGGAGGCGGAATATGATTTCATACTCAAGGGTGGCATCGTACTCGACAAACAGAATCAACCACCGAATCCAAATCCGAGTGAGTAGAAATTATATTTCATACTCACATCTGTACATATAAACATGAATTTTTGGTGTTCATTATTATTACAGACTGGATTAGTGAACAGGCATGGGATAATATAACCGAACTCGATAGAGTCGCTGGCTTTCACGGCATAATCGACTCCTTTGAACAGAATCCGAAATTATGGCAGAGTAAGTACTAAAATACGAATTATCTTTAAGTGTAAGTGAAATAATTTCCAAACACTTTATAGTGTGGTATGCCACCACAACGCCGGAAACTGAGGATCTCGTCGGTGAATGGAATGATAAATTGACAGATTTTGAGAAAATCTGTGTTGTGCGTTGCTTACGACCCGATCGTGTGTCTTTTTGCCTCACCCAATTCATTATCAATACACTTGGTCCGCGTTTTGTGGAACCACCGGTATTGGACTTAAAAGCTGCCTTTGACGAATCCATGTCGCAGACACCACTTATCTTCGTACTCTCGCCCGGTGTAGATCCCACGCAGTCATTAATCATGCTAGCCGAGCAGTGCAGAATGTCTCAACGTATGTTCTCACTCAGCTTGGGACAAGGTCAAGCACCGGTTGCTACGAAAATGATTATGGACGGTGTGCGTGATGGCAATTGGGTATTTTTGGCGAATTGTCATCTATCTTTGAGTTGGATGCCAACGTTGGACAAGATCATCGCCACCATGCAATCAATGAAATTACATAAACGTTTCCGCTTGTGGTTGAGTTCAAGTCCACATCCAGAATTTCCCATATCCATTCTACAGTCGAGCATTAAAATGACCACAGAGCCGCCACGTGGCATAAAAGCGAATATGCGTCGTCTCTACAATAACATCAATGAACAAACTTTCGAATCCGTCGATGAAACGAGCAAATATAAGAAGTTACTATTTGCGCTGTGCTTCTTTCACACAGTTCTATTGGAGCGCAAGAAATTTTTGGAACTTGGTTGGAATGTGATTTATAGTTTCAATGATTCCGATTTTGAAGTCTCAGATGTGCTCTTGGCTTTGTACTTAAACGAATACGAGGAAACACCGTGGGGGGCTTTGAAATTTCTTATTGCTGGCATCAATTATGGCGGGCACGTGACCGATGATTGGGATCGCCGTCTGTTAACGACATATATAAATCAGTTCTATTGTGATGGCGCTTTGACCACACACAAATTTCGGTAAGCCCCACATCTTGTCTTCTGTTTGTCGCTGAATAATTGGGCTTTCAATGTTGCTTAAATTTTTACAGTCTCTCCTCACTCATTAACTATTTTATACCTGGTGATGGCGATCTTCAATCTTATATTGATCAGATACAACAATTTCCGAATTTCGACAAGCCAGAAGCGTTCGGTCAACATCCCAACGCCGACATTGCTTCACTGATCGGCGAGACGCGTCTGCTCTTTGAGACGCTGGTGTCGATGCAAGTGCAGACCACCACTGCGGTAGGTGAGAGCATGGAAACGAAAGTGCTGCGTTTGGCTAAGGACATATTTGCGAGCACACCAGACGAAATCAATTATGAACAGACCGCCAAATTGATCGGACTTAATCGTACACCCCTTGAAGTGGTGTTACTGCAGGAGATTGAACGTTATAACTTTTTGTTGAGTAGAATGAAAATACATATGCGCGATTTGCAGCGCGGCATTAAAGGACTCGTGGTGATGAGCACAGAATTGGAAGATATTTATCAATCGGTATATGAAGGACGCGTACCGGCTGTTTGGCTGAAATGTGCGTATATTTCTTATTCTAAAACTGCATATATCAGTCACACATTCATTTCATCATTATTTTCAGCTTACCCATCTTTGAAACCGCTGGCCGCCTGGTCACGTGATCTCATACTGCGTATTGAACACTTTTCACATTGGGCCAAAACGCTGAAACAACCAACGCTGTTCTGGTTGGCTGCATACACTTTTCCCACTGGTTTCCTTACAGCGGTGTTGCAGACCTCGGCACGCGCCACCCGTACGCCGATCGACGAATTGTCATGGGACTTTTTTGTCTTCATCGAGGATGATGCAGCTGCCGCTCGCATCGTACGTGAAGGTGGCGGTGTTTATGTGCGTGGTCTATTCTTGGAGGGCGCCGGTTGGCTACGTAAGTTACAATGCTTACAGGATCCCCTACCGATGGAGTTGATCTGCCCCATGCCCGTAATACACTTTAAGCCGGTGGAGAATCTTAAAAAGAAAACTCGCGGCGTATATCAGTGTCCAGCTTATTATTATCCCCAGCGCGCAGGCTCTTTCATAATCGCCGTAGACTTGAAATCTGGCAATGAGAAGTCAGATTATTGGATCAAACGCGGCACGGCTTTGTTACTCAGCCTTAGTGTTTAGTTGTTGCGTAGCACTGTTTTTGCTGTGCTACAATTCCCTCGTTGTTTAATTTATTAATTTTACACATTATATGATTTTTATTCAATTAAATATTATTTGTTATTAAAATAAGTTTCTCTTTAACCTCAAAAACACATAGAAAATGTAGGCAGCAGTCGCGTATAGTTTTTTCTGTTTTTTGGTCTGAAAAGTTCGAAAGAATTTAGAATAAGGTTGTCTGTATGAACTGGTTGGCCCGAACATTAGGTGTACCAATTGCATAACCTGTGGGGGAAGTGAAAGGAATGGAGACACCTCACAATGGGCTGACATAACTAAGAGGTTGAAAACTTGGAGCATCTGATCTGTGTGTAACGTAAACATCCGATGAGAGATAATTATCCTGGCAGTGGATTAGAGGACGTTTTATTCGAAAAAAAAACTTATTTAGGTTTGGATTTGCATGAGATTTGGATCCAACTACTTCTGCAGAAGATTCTTATTCAGAATATCTAAGTCGTGAATGTTCAGTGCGTATGCGGCGAGGGAAGTGCAAACTGAATCGGTGGTCGACAGGACTGGACACACTCCGATGGACATGTAGGAAGCTCTGTAATACGCCCGAGCGACTATCCGCAGACCCTCACTCGAAAGCATATGAAGATCAACTCAGACTATAGGTAAAAAAATCTTATTGGAGAAATTTTTGCAATGATATTGAGGGTCCGGCGCAAACCACAAAGCTAAGGTCGATTATGTCTAAATCTTCAAATTGAGAAGGTTTTTTTTTTCAAAGACAGTATTTGGGTACCTCTGGAAAGGAAACTATAGAATTACTTTTAGATATTCACTTTCCTGGAAGCTCGCAGAGTCCTATGAATTCAGCTCATTTGTCGATCTACCTATCACATACGAAATGGAAATCATTGCAATAAAAACCTTCAGCCCATAAAAAGCAGCTGGGCCGGACGGTATTTAACTAGATGTCCAAATAGAACAGATTGGTTTTTACGAGGGAAACTGCAAGCCGGATGAACTTGCTAGGCAAGGTACGGCCAAGCAGATTCTTCTCGATAAAGAACACATTGCTATGCTTTTGCAACTTGCAAACTGCTTCTCAAGAAATTTACATCTGAACAAGCCACGTTCAGGTGGAATGAAACTACAACCTGCCGCAAAGTATAGTAACAAGATATGTACTCTTTAAAATGTGGAGACATGTCCAAAGTAATAGGAATCCTGATAGGCTACTGTCTGATAGGACGACATGCGGAGAAACTAGGTGTTCCCCATAGAAGATGCTGCAGAAGCTGAAAGGATGACAAAGAGGGCGAAATGATCCCCCATCTCTCATCCGACTGCCCTGCTTTGAGCAGGATTAAGTTTCCGATTGTTAAGTCATGTATCTTACGAGGTTCATCAACGGTATGATAGATCGGCAGCCACCACAACCTAACCTAACCATCTTTCTTGTTTCATATGCTCAAGCTGATCGCTATCGATACTACGTCTTCACCGCAGTTTACCTATACCTACCTACCTACCTAAATCTTACAAAATCTATTGCACACTTGCTGTACCATGTACTCAGAGCGTATTAGATTTGTTGAGTTGTAACAGCATAGAATAGAGGAAGTTGATATGGACATATACATCTCCCCTTTTTTAGATAGAGAGGTGATCCTGAAACCCCGAACCACGTTCAGTGTCGAAATTTTACTCAAATATGTTTTACTTGCCACTTATAAATATTTCGACATATTTATAAAACCACTTACAACCAGTATTCCTCTGGCATGTTCAGATGTGGAAGGAGTTTTATATAATAGCGACGCTGAATTTTTCGGTAGACACATTGATCCAAAAAGCAATGATGATAAGAGTGCTATTATCGAGAGTAGTGATGATCGAAATGCTGATAAAAACAATATACATCACTCAAGTGGCGATGATTGCGAAAATATGTATTTCAAACGAACGAAGTAGACGATAAATGCGACTACCTGCCAGTTCTGAAGACAAAGGTGGAAGTAATGTAGCAAATCAGCAAACTAAAATTGCATCGGATCAGTATTGAGGAAGGAGGTGTTGCCGGTAGATGAACAGTTCGTAATTCCTTCATAGATGTACACGGACCAACAGCACATGCGAAAGGAAACGTTAAGGGGCAGACCTAGTGTGAAATTTCAATAAAATCGATTTCATATTTCGCTAGATTACACCTTTAGAAATAACATATTAAAATTTCAAATCGATATCTCAAATTGTTTTTGAGTCATAGCAATTTAAAGAGCAGCCGCTCGCCAACTAGAGTGTCTCATTAGCTACGACCGAAAACGATCATTTTATCTTTAAACGCGTTTTCCGAATTTGCTGCAGTGATTACTCACAAACAAATAATCCGAATACTATCGAATTTTTTTTACATGTTCTGTATATAGTTCTCCGTATAATGATCTATCGATTTTTAATCTGATCAAAAAATCGAATTTTGGCAGGCCAAAAACGACCAAAATTTTGGGTAAAATTCAGCTATTTTTTTAAAACGCCGCCATATTGTTAATTTTTGATTTTTTTTATCATAGGTCATTGTACAGACAATACATACATACAGAGAATTTTTTTTTAGATTTCACCCACGGAGAAGGCCGGAATCACTGCAGCAGTGAAGGACCTTTTTTTCGCGCCGTTGGAGATCGACTATAACTTGAAAAATGTTTAATTTTTTTTCAAAAATTTCACTGTAGATTCTTGAAACATGTATAAATATATTCTTAAAATTTTGAAATAATTGATAAAGTATTTTTTATAATAAAAATTCCCAAAAATCACCTTTTTTTAGGCCATTACACTAGGTGTGCCCCTTAACATTGAGAATATATGTAAGTAGTGCGTTCCTATTACCGATTGACAACTATATTTTGGAATATAAACGAATTTGTACAGAGTTAGAAGACTCTTGAGTTGTGGGAAAAAACTGGAAATTTTTTTTGGTATAATGTTTTATTGAATCTTTCCTTTTTGGAAACTAGCAATAATTTCGAAAATCTTAAAGCTAATTCATATTCATGGAACAAGTTAATCATTACCACTGTATAGATTAACAAAGTAAGCAAAGCACAATAAATTACGAATATAACTTAGATTTATCAAAGAATATGTTTATATAGATATCATTAGGGATACCAAACCCTCATATTTAAAAAAAGATATATTAACAAGGATAATTTGAAGTAAATTATAATATCATGAAGGATATATGCGGAACGCAACACCGATGTAGAATAATTGGATGCCTCAGAGCCCTTAGTCACAGTTTAAAAGTAATTCCTTTCTCTTCAATCGCTTAGCAGAACTACCGCTGTAACAACTTTTTAGCTAGAAACTTTGGGCGGTTAGATAACCTTAATGAGTAATTATTAAGCAGTTTCTTTAATTCCTCGGTGACGGTTTTAATACCGAGATCGTTGTGAATTGTGGATATTTTACATACCAAGGCGCTTTCCATATTGATCTTAAGGTTTTAGATTGCAGTCTTTGAATTCTATCTAGGCTACATTTAGATGATGAGCCCCAAATTTGGATCCCGTAAGTCCAAGATGGATTTATAAGCCTATTGAAAAGTGAAACTTAGTTTTCTAGACTTAGTTTGGATTTAGAGCATACCATCCAATGCAAGTTCGCAATTTTCAATTTGGTTTGAGTTGTCTTTTTGTCTATGTGGTTTTTCCAGGTGAGCCATTTATCCAATGTAACTCCCAGGCAGGTAACGAATTCTTTCTGAGATATTTTATTGCCATTTTTAGAGATTGAAGGACATGTGTCTTTTTTTAGGATAAATGTTACTTTGAAACACTTAGACTCATTGACTTTAATTCTCTAAGCTGTTAGTCACTCTTCTATTACTTTTAAATGTTCTTGTAATCTGTAACTGGTTGTCATGGGGTTTGAATGGACACTAAGTAATGCTGTATCATCCACAAAAGTTGATGTGTTTGAGGTTTCGGTTTGTGGGAAAATCGTTTGTATAGATTAAATATAAGAAGGGCCCAGAAACACTTCCTTGTGGAACACCAGCAGGTATTTCAAAAGATTCAGTGAATGTGACTGTTTTTCTGCTAATAAGCAAGCTTTCTAAGACATCATAAATTTTTACGGAAAGCGTACCTTTCAGATTGCCTAATAGACCGGAAAATTCCGCAGGGAAAATTTAAGGCATTTCTTGCAATATTGAAGCAATATTGAACGCACGCGGGGCATACGAAGGAAATACTTTGTGGGTTCAATATTTATGGAACAAAAAGTGGGCACCATAATTTTTCTCCAGCACCATGAGTAGACGCGATTTAACTGAGATTCAGCATTACAGGCATTTCGACAAAATAAATCAGAAGGGTGAACGGTTAAGATGGAATAAATTTATTGAAAACAGTAAAAATTGCTTTAAACCGGGAGCTTATGTTAGCGTGGATGAGCAACTTGTTCATATGCCCCATACACGGTGTGTCCCAAAAATAACCGAGATTTTTGGATATAAAATAAATTATACCTTATATTATCTTTGAACGTTATTATTTATTTATTCAAAAAAGGTTCCATTTGACTCAACACAACGTTTGAAACGATCAACCAGCGCATGCATCGATTTTTTTTATGTCATTTATAGAAATGTTCTTCAGTACCTCGGTTACGGCTGCTTGAATGGCTGGGGGGATATCATCATAAAATGCTCCCTTCATCTTGGTTTTCAGTCTTGGAAATAAAAAATAGTCACGTGCTGACAGATCAGGCGCATACGGCGGATGGTCGATGAGAAAAATCCCTTTTTTCATTAAAAATTCGAGCGATTTTTTGGTCCTCATTTAATTCGTATGGAACAAATCGCGCACAGACCTTTCTTTTCCCCAAATCTTCAGTTAAAATTTTCCGAATAGTGTTTTTACTCGTATTCAATTCCTCAGCCAACATTCTCGTAGTAAAATTTGCATCGATACAAATGATTTCACGGACTTTTTCCACCAGTTCAGCACGATTACTAGTTTCTGGACGTCCTGCTCTAGGGTCCTCATT